TGTTTTCAGTTCTCCGGGGTATGTACCTAGGAGTAGAATTACTAGATCATACAGTAATTCTGTGTTTAACCTTACTGAGGAACCTCCACACTCTTTTCCAAAGTGGCGGTACCATCTTACATTCCCATCAACATTGCATGAGTGTTCCAATTTCTCCACATCCTCACCAGCACTTGTGATTTTCCATTTTAAAAGTGATGGCCCAGACTAGTGGATATGAAGTGATATCTCACTGTATGTATGGTTTTTTAAAAACAGCTTTGGTGAGGCCGGTGGTTCACGCCTGTAATCCCAGCACTTTGGGAGGCCGAGATGGGAGGATCATGAGGTCAGGAGTTTGAGACCAGCCTGACCAACATGGTGAAACCTCATCTCTACTAAAAATACAAAAATTAACTGGCCATGGTGGCACATGCCTGTAATCCCAGCTACTCAGAAGGCTGAAGCAGGAGAATCGTTTGAACCCAGGAGGTGGAGGTTGCAGTGAGTTGAGATTGCGCCACTGCATTCCAGCCTGGACGATAGAGTGAGACTCCATCCAAGTAAAAAACAAGAGTGAAAAAAAAAAAAAAAAAAAACCCAGCTTTATAGAGATATAGTTCACAAACTGAAAAACTGATCCAAGTAAAGTGTACAATTCAATGGTTTTTTTTAATATATTCACAGATATATTAAAATAAGCAACCAGTACCACAGTCCATTTTAGAACATTTTCATCACTCCAAAAGGGAACCATGTATACTATACCCATCACTTCTCCACTCCCCAGACTTCTTCCCCAAGTCCTAGGCAACCACTGACCAACTATCTCTGTAGACTCCCTTGTTCTGGATCACTCATATGAATGGAATCAGGTAATATGCAGTCTTTGGTGACTGGCTTCTTTTACTTAACCTGTTTTCAAGGTCCCCCTGCACATCATACCATTTATCAGCAGCTCATTCTTTGTTATGGCTGAACAGTATTCCATTATATGCATACACCATATTCAGTTAATCTACTCATGGGCTGATGAACCGTGGGGCTCTTTCTACCCTTGTCTATTACGAATAATGCTCATTTCTCTTGGGTATATATGGAATTGCTGGGTCACATTATAACTCTACATTTAATCGTTTGAGGGACTGCCAGACGGTCACATAGCAGTCGCACCATCTTACATTCTCACCAGCAGTGTGTGAAAGTTGATTTTTCCACATCCTCACCCACACTTATTTTATTTTTCCCATCCTATGATTACCCATCCTAGTGGGTGTTAAGTGGCATTTCACTGTACGTTTGATTTGCATTTCCTTTATGACTAATGACAGTAAGCATCTTTTCTTTTCTTTTTTTTGAGACGGAATTTCACTCTTGTCGCCCAGGCTGGAGTGCAATGGCGCCATCTTAGCTGGCTGCAACCTCTGCCTCCCGGGTTCAAGCGATTCTCCAGCCTCAGCCTCCTGAGTAGCTGGGATTACAGGCACCCGCCACCATGCCTGGCTAATTTTTTCTATTTTTAGTAGAAATGGGGTTTCTCCATGTTGGCCAGGCTGGTCTCAAACTCCTGACCTCAGGTGATCTGCCCACCTCCGCCTCCCAAAGTGCTGGGATTGCAGGCGTGAAGCCATCGTGCCCGGCTAACAGTGAACATCTCTTCATGTGCTCATTGGTCATGAGCACATCTTCAGGGAAATGTCAAGTCTTTTTTCCATTTTAAAACTGGGTTGTGGTCTTTCATTGTTGAATTGTAGGAGGTTTTTTATACGTTCTGGATTGTAGACCTTTGTCAGATACATGATTTTCTCCCATCCTATGGGTTGTCTTTTCATTCTCTTGATAGTGTCTTTTGATGCACACATTTTGAATTTTAATGAAGTCCAATTTATTTTTCATAGAGCCTTTTGTATAGTTTTAAAACTTATAGTGTTTATAAGATAGTACAAATATAGATACAAAGAATAATCTAATGAAACCACATGTACCCACTACCAAGATTTCACATAATCATTTGACTTCAGACTTTCAGTGACTGAGGTTTTAGGTGTGGGCGAGTATTTCTGAGACTGGGTTTTGCAGGTTCTCTGTGAGGTTCATCTTTGGCTCCCTAGTATTTAAGTCGACACTCCTGCTCCCAGAAGAGGAGACTCCCTCCTCTTCTTGTTCTTCAGGGCTCTCACTCTATCTGTTGCCTGCTGCCTCCAGTATCATCAACTTCTCTCTCCAAGTTCTTTCTTAGCAATATCTAAAGCTGACCTCTGTCTCTAAAAAGTTGAGTTCTTCCACACTGTGCCCTTCTCTGGCTGCCTTCCTCCAACCAGCATCTGTGTCATTAGCACAGATGCTCCTTGAGTGACTAACGATGTCATGTTCTGATAAACCCACTGCAAGTTGAGAATATCCTAAGCCAAAAATGCATTTAATATGCCTAATTTGCGGAACATCATTGCTTAGCCCAGCCTTCCCTTAAATGTGCTCAGAGCACTTGCACTACCCTTACATTTGGGCAGAATCATCTTACACAAAGCCTATTTTATAGTAAAGTGCTGAATAGCTCATGTGATTTATTGCATACTGCACCAAAAGTGAAAAACAGTGATTGTATTGGCACTTGAAGTACAATTTCTACTGAATGCCATCACTTTCATACCATCATAAAGTTGACCAATGCTAAGCTGGGACTATCTGTACAATTTCCCTCAAGTATATCTTGGATCACGCACTTTCACCCCCGGGGTGAAAAACCTTCAGGGCTTTGTTTTCTCTCGACTCCCCTGGGCCTGGGGTAGCAAGGGCTTCTCCCTGGAACACAGTGCTTGTGAGAGTCTGCAGGTGGTTGCAGGACTGGGAAGGCTTCTGTCCTGTTGAAAAATACTAGCACTTAGCACAGTACCTGACACACAGTAAGTACCCAAACTAGGAAGATGACGATGACCACAGGCACCCTCACCACCAGCACTGCAGGTTGTGCCAGAAGGGAAAAAGCAATTCTGACAAAGTTCTGGCTATGACGTTCCCTGTGGGTGCCCCTCAAGGTGCCTCCCTCTGGCACCCTCCACCCCCCCTCCACACACCACTTGAGAATATCCAGCTTTCTCCATGCTTCTCAGAGAGGCCCCAGAGGGTCACTCTTTCCAGCAGGGTAAATGGTGGCAGTTCCTGTGGCACGGGAATAAGCACTCCCTGGCACAAAGTGCACCCCCCCAACCCTTCACCTGTTAACCACTGCCCCTTTCTTGCTTCTTAAAGCTTAACCATCTCCTCCTACCAGTTTCCCTTCCCATGGTGCCTTCCATTGGCCTGGGCACCACTGGACTTCAGGCCCTCTTGGAGGCTCCAGAAGAGTTAAAGGTGTGAAAGGGGAAGGGCGCCCAGGTTCTGCTGGGGACCCAGCCTGACTCCTGGGTCTCTATAGCTTTGCTATCTCAAGGTGGAGGGTGGGGGAGACCGCAGTTTCCGGGGAATTAGGGGAGACCTCAGTTTCAGGGGAATTTGGTGCTGTTTTCCAGTCTCCCCAGCTTCTTGTACTCCTGTTATATTTGGGGGCAATTTCCCAGAAGAGAGTCTGGAATCTACGACCGGCAAGAGAAAAGGGCAGACAGGCTGGCTGAAGACGTCTGCACCTACAGCTCTGCAGTCCAGACTCAACCCCCAGAGACCGCTGGCTCATCCCCACCAGGGGGCCACTTTGTGCCAAACCAGAGAAGGATGGGTGGGGAAGGTGGAGAGGCCAAAATAAAAAAATCTGTCAACTTGGAAAGAGGAAGTAGGCAAGGTCAGCCGTGTGTGGATTGGAGGCTTCCAGGCTGATGGCGCTGGCGCTTCTGAACCCTCTGGCTGCTGGGAGCTGAGCACGGGGCTGATGGCTTGCGCTGGTTGCGGAAGAGAGGAATCAGAGTTCATGGGTGCCACCTTGCTCAGGAATCCTGCCTGACCTCCTTGAAAGTTAAGCTTTTCTCCTAGTGGTTCTTTCCTCTGGCCCACGACCAGGCAAGCTCGCCCAACCTACCGTCTGTCCCCAGCTTCCAAACTGCTTTCAAACCCCTCCCCTCTTAGTCTCCAAAAGAGTGATGCCTGGGTCTCCTTGGCCCCTCTGCCAAGAAAGTCTGGGTTTCCTCTGGCACTTCTCCAGATAAACCCTCCCAGCCTCCGTGGTCCTCACACTCACCTTCCCCAAAAGCTGCAGCGCAGCGCCTGCCCAAGACCCCACCACACCCTGTCTGTCCTCACCTGGGGGCCACCTGGATGTGCAATGGCCCCCTGAGGTTCACTGGTTCCTAAGAGGAACGCGTGATCAGCCCGTAGGGGACAAAACCGTCTCCCCAGCCTCTCAGCACAAGAGAGGCTCCCTGTCCTCTCCCTCTGGCAGGCATCCAAATTCTGAAGCCTCCACCTCCTGAGAACGCCTCTCCTTTCGGCCTCCCTGTCTTTGGCTGGATGACCCCAAATCTCGCCCTAACGCTTCTCCACTGGTCCCCTCTCCATCACCTGCTAAGGAAGGGCCACGCTCCTTAAGCTGAGGCGCCAGCAGATTTACAAGTTTTGAGGGAAAACAACGTATTTCTCTGGTTAGGCCACTCAGGGCATAAAAGACCCAAGGCCCTGGGAGACCCCACGACGGGGCTTCCTTTTGGAGTCTGCATGGAGCAGAGCGTGCAGGGGTGGTAGTCCCGTTGCGGGCTGGCTCGCCAAAGACGCCCCTTCCTTGCCTTGCTCCCCCAGGCTCTTGAGAGAGCCCTGGAGAGTTCTGGAAATCTTGCTACCTTTAGGACCTGGGGAATCCAAGTGGGGGGGTCACCTTCCCCGCCCCCAGCGAAGTCGGCGCCGGAACTGCCCTAATGGAAACCAGCCGCCAGGCACTCCAGGAGGGCTCAGGCCGACCCTGGGGGCCATCAGAGGTGCGCCAGGCCGAGGGAGCTCGCGGCGGCTGGAAGATGAACTTGACATCCCGGCTCCACCGTCAGCGGCTCGCACCCCATCCCCACTCCGGCCGGACCAAAGTAGAATCCGAGGTGTGCACGTGATTTCCCAGGGAGGGCGGACTCGGGGCTTTCCCTGTCGCACCCTCCATCGGGGGACCGTCCCCAAGTCCCCGAGAGTCCCTCGGGCAGGATCCTTAGGGCTCAGAGCAAAAGAGGACCTGGCTTGCCTGGCGGAGGCGAGCAGCCGAGGGGTCGGTGGAGCTGCGCCCCAAATGAGTTCCTGGCGCGCGGTTCTCCCCACCCGGACCCTTTGTCCGCCTCCTTCTCCCTCGTCCCGGCCCTAGGCTCAGGGTACCCAGGCGGCAGCGGCGGAGGTGGCAGAGGGCAGAGCCCAGAGGCGCAGCCCTGACAGCTGGGAGGGTCTCACGTGGAGCCGTCTCCGGGATCCGCGCAGTGACGGCGGTGGTGGTGGGGGGGTAGGCTGCGGGCGCGCGGGATGGGGGCTGGGGCGCAGCCCGAGAAGTGGGAGGGGATCGGGTGAGGGGTGGTCTCTGAGGAGGAGCCAGGCTGGACCGTATTGTTCCGCGCTCGGCCGGGGAGGGCGCGGGGCGTTCGGCTTCCCATGTTCCTCTCCCCGCCCCCGCCCCGTGGGCGCGAGAGGAGGCTGGGGGCTCCTTGTGCACCCGAGACGCCGCTGCCTGGCTCGCCGGGTGGGGTGTGGGTCCTCCGAGCGGTGCCGGGAAGGAGGTGCTCTCTGCCCGCGCTCCCAGGACTGCTCTACCCAGGGCGGGGGTCCGGAGTGGGCCGACCCCCGCAGCGCCCTGGGTTTGCGGGCCCAGAGGCTGGAGGCAGCGAGGAACTAGGGTCCTTCACCCTCGTCGCATGCCTCCCCAGGAGTCGGCGTCCCAGTTCCCCGCGATGGCCGCGGGCCGCTGCCGTACAGAGCCGTTGCGCGGACCCCGGGGCGCCCCTTCCTAGCCGGGCGCAGCTCTTTCTTGTCCGCCGCCGGGCCAGCGGGATGGGGGGCGGAGGGTCGGTCCTGAAAGTCTGCGCCGACCACCGCGGGGGCATCAACTGGCTGAGCCTGAGCCCCGACGGGCAGCGCCTGCTGACGGGCAGCGAGGACGGCACGGCCCGGCTCTGGAGCACCGCCGACGGCCAGTGCTGCGCGCTCCTGCAAGGTAGACCCTCCCACCCCCTCCTTGTCCTCTTCGCCGTCGCTCACTGGCCCCAGACCGCGGACCCCAGCTCCTGCGCCCGGACCCCAGCTCCTGCGCCGGCAGATCCCTTTCTAGAAGTCCAGCCCCTCTCATCCCCGGGGGCACACTGGCGGAAGAGCGTTTGTCTGGGCCCACCATCTGGCTATTGAGCTCTCGGCAGGGCAGGGTGAGGTCCGGGGGTGGAGTGCGGGTGCAGAGCAGGGTGCGGCCGGGCGGCGTCCGCTACAAAGGCCAAGATCATTTGTCAACCAGCGTCAGGAAATCTCCCTTGACAACAGTGTTAACAAACAAAAAGTTAAACCTATACCCCTTCTAAGCAAACCTTCCCTTGTATCTAGGTGTCTTTTGGCCTCTTTGTGGCCAATTGTGCTCTTCTGCTGGCATTTCCTGTTGACGACTATCGTAGTAATAATAGGGGCTTGTTAAGGGCCAGCGGTGCGGAGAAGTGTGCCGTCGTCACACTATGTTACCCCACATACAGACATGGAAGCAGGCTGGGAGTTAAGGAATTTGCCCAGGTCGCACAGCCAGTGAGGGGTAGATGGCAGTCTGAGCCCTCTCATTGCTGTAAACCCCGCCTGCATGCCTGTTGATTTCTATTTGTGTCCTGTACTCATTCAGGAGGTCAGTGTGCCTCAGGTTCACCTTCTCCTGGGCCTGTCCCGTGCACTGTGAGGTCCCTTTCAGCTCTGGCCCTCCTACCGCCCAGGTAGCACATGCAGTGGATGAGCCGGGAGGCTTTCTGTTGTGGGTAGTTCTTTATCACCGCCGCGTTTTCCATCATCATCAGTGAACCCTCTGTGGCCTCGCTCAGGCCTTCCAACTTAGCTAGGATATTAGCCCCAATATTGGCTAATCCTGATACTGATGGTTTTAAATAAGAGCAGTTGACCAGGTGCGGTGGCTCACACTTGTAATCCCAGCACTTTGGGAGGCCAAGGCGGGTGGATCACCGGAGGACAGGAGTTTGAGACCAACCTGGCCAACATGATGAAACCCTGTGTCTAATAAAAATACAAAAAATTAGCCGGGCGTGGTGGCGGGCGCCTGTATTCCAGCTACTCCAGAGACTGAGGCGGGAGAATCATTTGAACCCAGGAGGCAGAGGTTGCAGTGAGCTGAGATAGTGCCATTGCACTCCAGCCTGGGTGACAGAGCCAGACTCTGTCTCAAAAAAAAAAAAAAAAAAAAAAAGAAAAAAAAAGAAAAAGAAAAGAAAGAAAAACGAAAAAAAGAAAAGAAATAGTTAGGGTAGATATTTCAAACCCAACAGGGATGACTTTTGGATTACCGGTTACTTGGGAGTTGGTGTGGATAATGGAGAGGTGGCCACAAACTAACCACATCGCCCCCAAACAGCCACACACACTTACAGGCATGCAACCAGGAACGGAAAATGTGAGGTCTTTTAGAAATGTTAAGTCCAGTTGGTATTGCTCCCAAATATAAGACTGTATTGGGGGTAGAGGGGTGGGTGGTGTTTCTGAAATGCAGATCCCCAGGCCTGGGATCCAGTGATGCAGTCCTCTGTGAATAGAGCTGTAGAATTGGCATTTCTTGTTGTTGTTGTTTGAGATGGAGTTTCACTCTTGTTGCCCAGGCTGGAGTGCAGTGGCATGATCTTGGTACACTGCAACCTCCACCTCCTGGGTTCAAGCGATTCTCCTGCCTTTCTCCTGCCTCAGCCTCCTGAGTAGCTGGGATTACAGGCGCTCGCCACCATGCCTGGCTAATTTTTTTGTATTTTTATTAGACTTGGGGCTTCATCTGCTGGCCAGGCTGGTCTTGAACTCCTGACCTCAGGTGATCCACCAGCCTTGGCCTTCCAAAGTGCTGAGATTACAGGTGTGAGCCACTGCGCCCAGCCTAGAATTGGCATTTCTAACAAGCTTTTGGGTGGTTCTTATGCACAGCTGGCCCCGGGAGCCCCTGGGCTGGGGATGATGGAGTGTGGGAGCCCAGCTCATTAGGTGGGTTTTCTCCCCAGTGGGGCTCCAGGCTTTGCCAGACTGCCTGTGGCCTGGTGGGTCCTTGGCTTTGCCCCCATGGCACCTCTGGAGTCTCACCAAGCCTCCAGGGCCTACCCTCCTGCCCAGCTCTGTGCCTGGCACCTGCGCTTCCTTCCTTCACACCCACTTTGGTGACCCTCACAGCTGCTTGTCCCCTTGAGGTACTTACACTCACTTTCCAGGGAGGGTGCCCGATCTTCTGCCCTAATTGAGGGCAGGGCTGTCCCCACTCAAGCAGGAAACTAGAATGAAAGAACTGCAGCCCATTTTGCTAGGATTATTTTTGCTATTATATGGGTTGGCATTTCAGAAATTTTCAAGGACGGAGACAGAGGTCATCTTTCTTTATCCTGAGATTCTGCTGATACACTCAACTTGTAAGAGTCATCGCGAGTGTGTGACAGTCCTTTTGTGTGGACCCCCAAGGAAAGCAAGGTCTTGCCAGTTCCTTTCTCCCGCAGGATTTTTTTTTTGTATCAGTGAAATATTAAAACGTCTTAACATTTGTTTAGTGCCCCATATTTTATAAATACACATCTCTGTGCTTTGTTATTGTGTAATGATAATCCTCACGACGCTGAGGCGGGTGGGATTGACACCAGTTTACAGAGGAGAGTGGGAGGTGCAGATTCGTTAGCAGCACACGCGGCATTCCCGTTGTTTTCTAGATACCACCGACAGTGGGGTGGGTGCTGTTGCCAACATCCCCGGAGGCGCGGTGCGGTTGCAGGACTCATCCAGGGTGCCGCAGCTGGTCTGTGGCAGAGAGGGCTTCTGAAGACTGCATGGCGCTTCTCTTACCCCAGATGCCGCTGCGGGGGAAGTTGTGTCCGGACCACACGGCTGGTCTGCGGTGGCCCCATCCCTAGAAGCGTCCTCACTCTAAATCTAGATCTTTCCACTCCGGCTCCTTCCTGGTCCTTGCACAGCTCTGGCCCACAGGAGCCTGTGATTGGCCAGTCCTGGATTTCTTGGGCAGAGCGGCTGGGGCTGGCAACTCCTAAGATCTCTCTAGAGGTCTTTCCTCTGGAGACCTCTGGCTGTGTTCGTGGCAGCAGGGGCAGTCAGGGGCTGGCTCACAGTGAAAAAGGCTTCATTGCAATTACTCTGCAAAGAGAAGAATTACTTGCCACGTGCTTATCCCTGACCCCCTCTTTTTCAGGTTTATTCATTGGGTATCTCCTTACTTGGGGGCACTTTGTTGGTTCGGTGAGATGAGTGACATTTTCCAAAATGGTGGTGCCTATCCTATCCTGTTCCAGTTGAGTAGGGGACTCAGCCTGAACGTGGCAGCCCACTGTGGCTGTCTCACTCTCGTCCTCGGCTTCTAACATGAGGGGGCGGGGATTGTGTTTCATTTCCTGGGTAAATCCACACATTCCCATTTGCTAGCAGCCTGTGGTATAGGAGGTTCCCTGTGAAACCTGGCAGGAGAGCAGTGGCGGAGAAGACTGGGCTGAAGGAGGCCTGGAGCACACCAGCAACAAGAGCTACAGCAGCCTCACACGGCTTGGGAGCAAGTGACCGCTCCCACCGGAGAAGTCCAGAAAGCCAAGCTGCATAGGTCTTGGTTCAAAGTGGGGCCTTGCAGATTTGCTACAAGTCTCTGGTGGCCACTTCAGTGTCCATTTCAGCCACACTGTCGGTGCTTCTGGGCTCAGATGTCACCTGCCTCAGGGTCCCGGCACCCTCAAAACTGGGTTCTACCAGGAGAGATTAATAAAGGGACACTCTGCAAAATGCAGGTGGAGCATAGAAGAACCACAGTGACTGTGGCTTGGACCAGCAAGGCTGCCACCTCTTCTGGGCCTGAGTCTGGGATGCAGCCACTGCATCCTAGAAACAGCTGAGAGGGCTTCCTTCCAGGTTGGATGGCCACAGCCAGTCTGAGGGAGCCCTGCAGGGTCGGAGCTGGGAGAGGGGAACGTATCCTGACCTAGAGTCTCCACCTGCAGCTCCCACTTGTCCGAACCCACGGTGGGCTCCCTTTTATCTAACCCAGTGGGAGTCTTAGATAAGAGTGAGCCCGCTGTGGATTCATGTAGTTGGTGGGGGCAGGGTGGAAAAGAGGGGGAGTGGGGAGCAGAGGAAGGTTCAGTCTTGGACGGCAGGCTCAGTGGGGCTTTCCCAAGTGAAAATAACCCTTGTGCTACAAGGGCTGGAGTAAGCCAGGTCAGCAGTGCCATCCCTGCCCCGTGTGGCCACCAGGACAGCTGTCCAGTCCGTTGTCTAAAGCTGGGACACAGGGAAGGCAGACACAGCTTCTATGCAAGTCTGGGGCAACAGGCCCACTGCAGCCCACCGCCAGCAGAGACCTGCCACCACCAGGTCCGAAGCTCTGAGCTGCTTTTCCTGCATGGGGTGGTGAGGGAGGGAGCAGTTTGACTTGCAACTTCCAGTGAGTCCTCAGGGTGTGCAGGCGCTACCTTGGCAGAAAACTATCGGCCTCAGCATGTTCTTTGAACATAATAACTGCATCTTATCTGCATTCTTCATCCCTTCAGAAATATTTATTTTTAGTTTGGCTTTTTTGCTTATTCTGCACAATCCCTGCAGCCCCTGGAGGTATGATGAACCCGCCCTCCCCAATGCCTTCCCTCTTCTGTCCTGGGTTCCGCGGGGTTGGGGTGGGTGCCTCATTGGGGTGAGGGCCTCAGCTCCAGGGGTGGCAGGCCTGGTTCCGCCTCCTCCGTGCTAGGGTGATCCCGCAGGCCTGGGTCAGTGGAGGCCTGGTTAGTATTCTGTGGAACATGGGGATTGGGGTTGGGGACATGCTCTGTTGGCCCAGCTCTGACCCGTGACTCACTCGGGTATGTGTTCAGATGTGGGTGACTGCTTGGAAACCCAGGGGAAGAGCCTATCCACAGCAGAACCCTGACCACTGTGGGCCTCTGCTGGCTCAGTGCCAGGCTCTGCCACAGGGCAGAGGGCAGAGGGCATCAGGGCAGCCTGGCCCGGTTCAGAAATGGAGGGTTTTTTTAACCTTCATCATTGCCTGTTTTCTTCAATCTTTGTATGTATTTACATTCTTATCAATTTGCCATCATCTGCATATATATCCTTTATTCCTTACACACATCATAAAGTGATTCCTCATTTCAGGTCTTCAGCATCTCTGGCTTCAGGCTTTAGTTCCACCAGGTATAGATGCCACAGCTCACTACCTGCCATTGGCTTTTAAGTGCTTTTCTTGGCTTAACATACGACTCCTGCGCTTCACCTTCCTGTGACTGAGATGGGGCGGGAGCAGCTGGGCTTGGCATCGGCCCCACAGGATCCTTAGGCAGGTGCCCGGTACCTGAATGCCCACAGCACACCTTGACCGCCTTTCTATCCTGGGTGTCTCCAGCCTGGATCTCTCTGCTGAGCCCTGCTAGTGGCAGCAGGGAGGGTGGGACGGATCTGTTCCCAGGGAAAGTTTATTGACAATCTTAAAATATTTTATAAACCCTCTGGGGTTGGCAAAAATCTAGCCTGTGTTTTGGCAAACACATTGCCCTCAGTGTTTAAGCCGACATGTATTTTAAAGGAAACAGAATCTGCAGTTTCTTCAAATGTTGACTTAATCCGTGCATTGTTTTCTTAGCAGCCTGGTATATGCCCTCCAGGGAGACGGGAAAACTTTTTTTGTTAAATTATGTTTCTTAGAACTCAGGAAGTTGCGTTTTTCCAAGAGTAACTGAACTTAAACTCAGGGGGTCGGGGGAAGGGGTGGATGTGAACTGGCTTGAAACTACCCAGGAAATTCTAAATCCCTGTCTACCCAATACCAGCTGTCTAAATGAAATTTTAAAATTCTATCAACATTCTTAGTGTGATCAGTACATTCCCCCAAATGTGTGGATGTTTGAATTCGTCCGTTGTCTCATCTGTAAAATGGCTCTTAGTTCTAACAGTCTTTTGATTTGACTTCCTGGTCCCTGAGTTCCTCAAATCCAGTTGGGCCTTCCTGTCCAACACGTTCTGCACCTGTGGGTTCATCCAACCACAGATGAAAAACATCCAGGAAGAAAAAAAAATTCCACAAGGCTCCAAAAAGCAAAATTTGGCTTCGCTGCTCACGGAGTACTACGTTGAATCCATACGAGTGAAGTGATGTGTAGGCATGGCCGTGGCTGTCGTAAGTAACCTAGAGATGAATTAAAGTGTGCGAGAGGATTGCATAGGTTATGGGCAAATGCCACGCCACAGGGACCTGAGCGTTGTGGAGTTTGGTATCTGCAGGAGATCCTGGAACTAATCCTTGATGGGTATTGGGAGACAACCGTATATATTGGGGGACAACTGTGTACACACCATCTTTACCTGAAGGGAAGGCCCTACTAGCATCAGAGACCCTGAGGGCCCCCAGGGCTGCTAAGCAATGCCCAAGGCATGAACATTGATCTGGCAGCCAGGGCAATAGTCAAGCTATCTAACTGCACCCATGAGATAGAGTCCCAGCCAGCCGGTGGGGTAGCTCAGGTGCTGGGACCCCAGACACTGTGGCACGGCCCTTCACTCTTGGCCCTCCATTCTGGCCTCATCAGCCATCTGCTAAGCACTCAGACTCTGGCCTGGAGGCGCCCCATGGAGCCAGCCCTGCATGCCTGCTCTCCCAGCCGCTGTTCTCCCTACAGACACCGACTCACCCTCTTCCTGGTCCCCAGTGCTCAGGCACTGTGGTTGTGTTCAGGGCCCACCTGGATAATCTAGGAAAATCTCCTCAGTCAAGGTCCTTAACCTCGTCACATCCACAAAGACCCCTTTCCAAGTAAGGTCACATTGACAGGTTCCAGGGATTAGGACCTGGTGTCTTGGGGCCGTCGTTCTGCCTACCACAGTATCTCTCCCCAGTGTAAGAAAAATAGTGAACATGCACCATTCCCTCTGTGGCTGCCTCTGTCCTCAGTCTGCGCTACATCCCGTGAGGCAGGCACTGTCCCCATCCCAGGTGAGGAAACGTGGAATGCAAAAGCTGAAAGGTTTGAAAAAGACTAAAAGGAGATGATAAAGAATGAGGAGGGAAGGAGATGAGGGAGGAAGGCAAAAGTGGAAGCCGAGGAAACAGGGTTTAAGGTGCAGGCGAGTACCCATGGATTGCTCCTGCTGCTGATGGCTGCTGTGAAACCTCAGTTCTTGTCTTCTTAGTTTAAAAGAATTGAAACAAGAGACACAGCAAAAGAGATGCAGCATAGAGCAGTGTATTGCACAGGAGGAAGAATACCCTGAAGGTTAGGTGCAGAATAGACAGGATGTCCTGAGAGGGAAGTCAGGGTGGGCTGCCCGTGAGGATGAGATAGCAGAGACCGGCTGGAGGGAGGATCCCTTTTTCGGAGTCTTACCTGATTATTCGTGAGCAAGTGGGGAAGGGGGTTGCTGGGAAGCATGTTTTGTGTGCACATGCACAGTGGCTGTGCATCCCTGTTCATACGTCACATGTCTCACTGGCATCTTACATCTCCATGCAGGGCTGTGTTTTTTCTATTGTAATGAGCAGAGTGTCACTCTGAGGACAGGTAAAAATCAAAGTGCATGTGCTCTCTACAGGGGAAAGTCCCTACTGGAGACAGCTTTGCTTGAATGAGCTTGCCTGCCGTGCGAATCCTGGGGCTTACTGTGTTGACGGCGCAGTCGCCATGGTTGCTGCGTCCTGAGGACACGGTTACTTCCCTGACTATCTGTCCTGCCTCACTGGTACCCCATGCTTCCTGAGAATCACTCAGACTGAAGTCATTCTTTAAAAAGGATGAGTTGAGGGCTGGGCACGGTGGCTCACACCTGTAATCCCAGCACTTTGGGAGGCCGAGGCAGGAGGATCACTTGAGGTCAGGAGTTCGAGACCAGCCTGGCCAACATGGCCAAACCCCGTCTCTACTAAAAATACAAATAATTAGCCCGGTGTAGCAGCGGGTGCCTGTAATCCCAGCTACTCAGGAGGCTGAGGCAGGAGAATCACTTGAACCCGGGAGGCAGAGGTTGCAGTGAGCCCAGATCACACCACTGCGCTCCAGCCTTGTGTCAGAGTGAGACTCTGTCTCAAAAAAACAAAACAAAACAAATGCTAATTGACTCCAGCTTGTCTCAAACACTCTCTACATCCTGCTTTCTTCCTTTTTCAAACATTGTTCCCAGAAGAAAAGCAGCAACTGGCATCCCCAGTATGCTCGTCCCCAGTATGCTCAGTATCTCTCCTGTCCCTCATCTGCAGGACACGAAAGCTACGTGACCTTCTGCCAGCTGGAGGATGAGGCTGCCTTCACATGCAGCGCCGACTGCACCATCAGGAGGTGGGACGTGCTCACCGGGCAGTGTCTGCAGGTGTACCGAGGACACACGTCCATTGTGAACAGGTCAGCCTGGCTGGGGGCTTGAGCCGAGTCTCACCATGGGCCCCTGGTGGGGTTGAGGGGTCAGAGATATGGGCCCCTGCACGTGAGGGCCCTCAGCTCTCTGGGGAAGTAAAAACGTGAACAGCTGGGAGGTGGTCAGTAGCACCCAGTGACGTGGACCCAGGACAGGTAGCAAGCTCAGTGCCCACAGCTGCATGTGGGGCAGGGAGGCAATGCCCATCCTCTGAACTGAGCCTGATGCTTTCCCCTTGGGGGCACAGCTGCTCCCCGCTGGGTGCAGGGAAAGGCACCAGAGCCTGCAGCTCGTATGGATGGGGACAGATTCCATAGGAAATGGTTTAATTGAGACCCGATGGTGGACAAAGGTTTGCAGGAGGAGGAGCGTGGGAGATTGTTCTGAAGATGGAGTTGAGTGTATTTTTAAGCCTCTCCTTTCTTTGTGGCTGTGGAAAATATCCCAGCCCCTCCTTCTCAAGAAGGTTGGAATTGTTCCTTTCTCAATGAATTTGGGTCTGAGCTGAGCAATGGAAATTGCTGATCAGATCAGTTGGACACTGTTGGAGTCACCTGTGGTGGTCCCCTCGGACTCCTGAGGGAAACCTCCTGGTGCCCCTCGGGCCTGGAAGCTGCACTGGAGGAGAGGCACTGCCTGGAAGCTGACCCAAGTAAAGACAGGGTGGCGCAGGCTGGCACTGGGGGGGTCCTGAAGGTGGGGCTGGGGGCGCAGACCAGACAGGATGAACCCCACCGGAGGGATGCTGCTGGTTGAGCTCTGACGAGAACCCCTACTCAGTGCACCAGCACAGGGGGGACAGGAAAGGCAGTGAGAGCCATCAGCCCAGCTCGCTGGAGTCCCAGGTGGCTGCAGCCAGAACCGATAATCAATAGTCGGCGGGCAGGGAGCTGGGTGACACCCTGAGGAGGAGGCTGAAGGGATGTGGGGACTTCTTAGAGTGAATGGGGGGTATGCAGACATCAGGTAGGGTGCCCGACTGGCCCTAGCCTTCCTCAGCTGAAGCAGGTGAGGCCCTGAGACCTGCCCAGGCAGCCCACAAGGTGGTAAAGAAGGGGCTAGAGAACTCAGGGCTCACGGCTCCACTGGCCTCTTCCCAGCACTCTGACTTCCCTGAGAAAGAAGTTTGCCAAGGAAGAGGAGAATGGGGCTGGGGAGCACCCTCCTGTGAGTCAGGCAGAGGCTGCAATGGGCTCAGCAGGGAGAAGGCCTGCCCGCAGTGACAGTGGGCCCTCAGCTGCCAAACCCACAACTGTCAGATGCTTCTCAAAAGCAAAACTGGACCATTTAAGGTAGAAATCATGTTCGGCCAGGTTTACTCTTGCATGTGCACACACAACTGACACATACACACATTACACACAACATACATATACACCATACACACAACTTACATGCATATGCAACATACATATACACCATACACAACTTATGTACACACAAACATACATAGCACAACATACACACAACTTACACATACACACGTGCACACATACACAACATACATATACACTCACACAAATTACATACACATACAACGTGCATACAACATACATATACACCATACACACAGCTTACGTGCACACACACAACATACATATACAACATACACACAACTTACACATACACACGTGCACACATACACAACATACATATACACTCATACACAAATTACATACACGTACAACATGCATACAACATACATATACACCATACACACAACTTACATACACATGCATACACAACATACATATATACACCGTACACACAACACACACATACGTATACAACATACATATACCATACACACAACTTACGTGCACACACACAGCATACATATACAACATACACACAACTTTCCCATACACACATTACACACATACACAACATACATATACACTCAACGTGCACACATACACAACATACATATACACTCATACACAAATTACACACATACAACATGCACACAACATACATATACACCCATACACACAACTTACACATATGCACACACAACACACACATGCACACACATAGACACACACCTTACACAAGCAACAAAACATACACATATACACACAAAGTATATGCAGGTACACATCACACACAGCACACATGCACGTGTACACACATGCACACACATACATATACACATGCACGCATGTACACATGTGCTCACAACACATACAAATACACACACTATTTTGATCAGTCATGGCTCCAAACCCACAGCTCTGTGTAGATATTTGCATGATTAAGTAGCTGTCCTCATAAAACAGTGAGATCCCTGAGGAACTCACTTCCTCCCGTGTTTTCAGAGCCAGGTCAGGCCTGTGAGCTTCGGGGTCACCGATGGCTCAGTGGCCTGGTGTCCCTGCCTTCTCACACCAGGCAGGACTCAGCCACCCCCTCCATGCCCCAAGGCCTCCCGCTGTGCCCTTCCTCCCACTACACCCTCTTCCTCCTGCTACACCCTCTTCCTCCCGCTATACCCTCTTCCTCCCGCACTTTGCCGCAGCAGCATCAAGGCATCATTTCCTTTAAAAATACATGTAATCCCAGCTACTCGGGAGGCTGAAGCAGGAGAATCACTTGAACCTGGGAGGTGGAGGTTGCGGTGAGCCAAGGTCGCGTCACCGCGCTCCAGCCTTGGCGACAGAGTGAGACTGAGTCTCAAAAACAAAACAAAACAAAAAAAACATTTTGTGAAAATCATCCTATCTGGGTCTTAGGGAAGAAGCCAGCTGGAAAGGGGTGTTGGCATTTGAGTGCAGCCTGTGTTGTTGAGCTGCTTGTGGGAAGTGAGGAATGCTGTCGGGACCCTTCGGAGGCGGGAGGCAGCAGGCTTGTCCCCTGAGTGGGTCTCCTGTCCACACCAGGCTGGCCAGCAAGCCCTTCTTGGGAGGGCGGGAGGAGCAGCAGGTCTGGCCGAGGTCCTGATTCAGGAGGGTCCCACCCTGGCAGGGATGCATCTTGCTCCAGTGCAGCCACGGCTGCATCCCTTGGCGGTCTCCTCTTCTGGGGTGCAGGGCTTCTTACCAAGGGTGTGTGTGCAGACCCCCTGAGGTTCTGTGCAAAGCTCTGCACTGAATGTGCAGCTACTGCAAATGTGTGTTTTTCTGGGGAGCTCTTGGTTTTCATCAAAATGAAAATAAGAGTCGTGAATACTGTGTGGGGGCCTTGGTCTCCCATGGTTGGTCAGTTGCACTGCATGGACTTGTAACTGAGCGAGTCAGAGAGAAACGCCACGCTTTGAGATGAATTCAGGAGTCCTTTATTAGCTGGAGACCGAGAGACAGCTAGCGCTCAAAATTCTCTCGGCCCTGAAGAAGGGGCTAGATTTTCTTTTATACTTTCGTTTAGAAAGGGGAGCAGGGGAGTCTAGCTGTAGCAATCTTCCCGAAGTAAAACAGGCAAAAAAGTTAAAAAGACAAATGGTTACAGGAAAGCAAACAATTCCAGGTGCAGGGGCTTTAAATCCATCACAAGGTTGGGCTTTGGGCGCTATTAACCGGACACAAACGCGGGGGCTTTAGGTACTATCAATCTGGCGAATTCCTGGGAACTGTGGATGTAGCTTGCCACAGCATCAGTTAATTGCACAGCAATTATCAGTTAATTGCATTCTTTGATGTGCTGGGAGTCAGCTTGCACAAGTTAAGTCCTTGAGGAAGGGTGGGTAAGGAACCCTTAATGTCTTGCAAATGAAGGAGCCAAATGGAGTCCATCTGTCCAGCTTTCTCAGCTAAGAGAGAGTCAATTAGGTCAATACAAGTTAGGGTATCACAGACGGACTCTCTTGGCTACCCAACCCCCAGTTCCCAGCCCTGTGGCTGGAACCCTGTTGAGGCTGTGACCTCAGTCTGCATGGGGATTGCCATGAGAGCTGGCAGCAGAGGCCCCCACTGGCTGCGGCGTGATTCCTGGCTGTGCCTCCCACAAGCACCCCTGGGTGCACTATGGCAGTTCCCAGTGCTCTCCAGCCTCGCAGGGCCCTCATCTGAAGTGCCCCGGCCCAGCCCCTTGAGCCGGCCCTGTTCCCAGGGTGACCAACATGTCCCACTCTGCCCTGGACTTTCTCAGTCTTAGGCTGAAAACCCTGCATCCCCAGAAGCTTTTCAACTCTGGGCAAGCTGGGAGGGCTGTGCTCCCCTACCTTCTCCCCCTATCTCCTCCCCCTACCCCCTTCCCGCTGCTCCTGGAGAGCTGCTGTGGGGATGTTGGAGGGATCCCAGCAGAGTATATAAGCTTGGTCCCTGCTACAGGTACCTGCCTAGGGGTAGGCAAGGAAGGGTGGGCATGAGGGGAATCAGGGTGGCTTCCTGGAGGTGGGGGCAATTTGAGCTGGACTTTGGAAGGTGAGTGTGGCAAGCTGGGCAGACACAGGGAGAGGTTATTTTAGCTGCAGTGCTGAGCATGGCCCGTTGGGAGGCTGTGTGGATTCTGGAACCCGTGCCTTCTGATCCCTGACCCCTTCCCTCTTGCCCCCAGGATCCTGGTTGCCAACAACCAGCTCTTCAGCAGCTCCTACGACCGGACAGCTCGGGTCTGGAGCGTGGACAAGGGACAGATGACCCGAGAGTTCCGGGGCCACCGAAACTGTGTGCTGCCTCTAGCCTACTCTGCCCCGTGGGACCTCCCCAGCGCTCCCTGCGTGGAGGAGGCCGTGGCCGGGGGGCTCCTGGTGACCGGCAGCACGGACGGCACGGCCAAGGTGTGGCAGGTGGCCAGCGGCTGCTGCCACCAGACACTGCGGGGCCACACGGGCGCAGTGCTGTGCCTGGTGCTGGACACACCCGGCCACACGGCCTTCACGGGTAGCACCGATGCCACCATCCGTGCCTGGGACATCCTGAGCGGGGAGCAGCTGCGGGTGTTCCGGGAGCACCAGGGCTCCGTCATCTGTCTGGAGGTGAGACTGTCCTGGTCCCCACCCAGCTGCCAGGGGAGCCCAGGTCACCCCCTGCACTGCCGCCCTGCCCTAGGTGTCCGTGATTTGGCTGCATAACAAAGCGCTGCAGATGGGGGCCTGGCAAGTGCCACAGAGGCCTCCCGGTCCTGGGGCTGGGAGTCCAAGACACAGGGTCCGCAGGATTGGTTTCTGGTGAGGCCTCTCCTTAACCTGTAAGCGCTGCTTTCTCCCTGTCCGTGTGTGTGTGTGTGTGTGTGTGTGTGTGTGTCCTAATATCGTCTTAGAAGGACACCAGTCATACTGGATTAGGGCCCCGTATGAACTCATTTTAACTCAACTGCCTCTTTAAAGACCCTCTTTCCACAAGGCCACATTCATAGGTACAGGGGCCGGGTAGGGCTGCAACATGTGAATCTGGGGTGGGCACGACGTAGCCCGTAACACTCAGCTTCTGGGTCTGCATGCCGGGCCGGGGCTGGGGCACATCCTGCCTGCAGGGCGCCTGGAGCAGGTGTTGACTGTTGTCCTGGTTTGTCTTTGTGCTGTCAGGCTGGGCACCGGCAGCCTCCTGGGCTCCGTCCTCCCGGCCTGGGGACTGGGACGTGGCCTATCATGCTGTAAACCAAAACCAGGATGGAGGAGACACAGCGCTGTAATGGTGCGGCCTTGTGGGATGTGGGGTTGCTGCCCCGTCTCCGTTGCCTCCCCTGGACAAGCCACCCAGCCTCTGTGGGCCTCAGTTTCCTCACATGTACAAGGAGGATTACACCCCTTCTTAATTCCTAAATCCAAAAAATTCCAAAAAACAAAAAATTTTTTCTTAAGCCTGACACGAAAACTCGTGGTGGCAGAGTCTGGCCTGAAGTGACTGTGACTGTGCGCTTCCGTCATCCCAGTGCCTGAGGGTCCTCACACCTTTACTGCAGATGCAGGAGTGTGTCTGTAAGCCCAAAAATCCCGAAACGCGTGGTCCCAAGGTTTTGGATAAGGAATTATGGTGTGAAGTTGCCCCATCCGTGGGCTTGTGGGGATTTGGTGAATCAATGGAAGACGCATGGACAGTGCTGCCAGGCAGCCCTTAGCCGCCGCAACCGCAACCATCCTTGCTGCTGTTGTTGTGAAGGACCTAACGGTGTGCCTGGCCGGAGGACCTGTTGGGTGTGATCCGCCACGCTGGGGTCTAGATGTTCCCGGCTCGGTCTTGGCCAGCCTCTGCCCTGCTCCAGGGCGGGCCCGACCCCTGAGGCAAGCGGTTCGGGTGCATTGCTGCCAGCACCTGGTGCTCAGTGAAGCCGCAGAAGACGTGAGGGAAAGACTCCGGGCGACAGGGCTGGAGTTGGGGCAGCCCTGAGCAGGCATTGCTGTGCTCAACCCCACAGGAGAGCCAGGCCAGGGACCCATTTGGGGCTCTGGGGGTAAGGGCGGACCCGGGGCTCCAAGACCAGGGGAGCAGGGAAGGGCTCACTTTCGCGCGGAGGGAGGGTCACCCAGGTCCCTGAGATGCTGGGTGGGGCACGTAAACCCCACGTCTCTAACTCAGCTCCCACCTGAGGACATTGGGACGGGAGGACAAAGAGAAGGAAATCAGCAAATGCCGCGAGATGAGGGGCTTGGGAGGGAGCTCGTTGTGGGGAAGGGCACAGCGGTGCAGGCCCAGCTCACACCGTCTGTCTGCGCGGGTTTCCCTTGGCCTCGGCCCCACCCTGGTGGTAAGAATGTTTCTGTTTCTTGATCTCCTGTTTTCAGGAGGGAAGGGAAGGTCAGGGTGCGCTGCTCGCATCTGGTTTTCACGTTCATTTAACTCAACATCATCCTTATGCTGAAGGGGCGTGTTTTGGGGAGCACACTTCACCACTCTTCACGCTCCCCAGCCTCCCTCCGTGTCCTTACTTGTCAGATGATGGTGGGGATAACAGCTCTCCTAGTCTCCCAGCATTCCCGTGAGAGTCGGCACTAGTGGCCGAGACTCGTGAAGAGCTGGGGCCATCTGAGGCCTCTTTCCTGGCAGGCAGTTCTATGGCGGGTGGTGTGGAGTGAGGCTGAGGCCTCCCCACCTGGCTCATATCTGTGCTCTGAGCTTGCTGGGGCAGGGGGTCGGGAGGGGGAGGGGCCGGGAGTTCGCTGGGAGGCCTGTCCCAGATGGAGCTGGTGACTCGCCTTCATGTCGCCAATGAAAGAAATGAACCAGCCCAGGCATAGAGAGGCCGCTGGCCAGGTGGAGGCAGGTGCTGGACCAGCCGGGGAGAAAAGCAGCCCTGTCCTCCCAGGTGACAGCTGCCCCCACCCCAGGGGTGGCAGGATTACCCAGGTTCACCCCCCGGGCTTTTCCGTACGGTCTCAGTGCTGTTCTTCCCGGAGAGTGGGAGTATAGGGTGTCCCGGCAGAGAGTCAGGAAGGCAAAAGGAGAGAGTGCAGGGGACCAGCTCCCACCCCACACACCTGTGTGCACACACAGGCAGAGGCGCACACACTCCACATGCACATGCATGATATGCGTGTGAACGCACACCCCACAGGCACACGTTGTGTGAACACACTGCACAGACACAGGCCACGCACATATATGCATGCCCCCAAACATGCCACGCGGGCACACATGTTGACGGGTGTGAAGAGAGAGCCCCTGAGGGGCAGAGGCTCTGGCTGTGGACTCTGCCTTTGTTTTCTTTCCCTTTGAAACTTAGGCAGCCCCATAAAGCAATTTGAATGGGAAGAGGAGTGGGGACAGAAGGTGCCCATGGGAACAGCCAGGGACAGCCTGGCCCAGGTGGCCAGTGGGGCTCAGTCCTAGCAGAAGGGTGGGGTGCAGGGAGCCAGGACTGAGGAATGGGGAGCTCTGGAGACGGGCAGGGCTGCCATGAGGGCTGAGACCCCCTAGGAATGCACTGGGCAGAAGGTTCTGGGAGGTGGAGGTGAGCCTCTCAGGACCATTAGGTCTGGTACAGACAGAAGGAAGGCAAGAAGGCAAGGAAGGACGTAGCAGGTGCCTGGGTAGCAGCCCCACGGTGTGCAGGGTGCACAGCCTGTGACAGGCCTGGGAGGTCCCTGGGCGGCCGGAGGCCCCAGAGTCTCAACTTCTGGTAGTGGCAGGGGTGGAGTTTGCCTCCTCTGTTAGACTTGGCCTCCCCACCTGGGAGCCAGGCCTGCGGGATGAGCGAGTGAATGGGCGGCGCTCCACAGGGGTCAGAAGCTGCAGGAGGCATGGGCAAGGCCACTCCCTGGGTGGGGGCTTCAGGGGTTACATGTTCTCCACACAGGGATGCTCTCACGGTAGGGGACTCTGGGGGCTTTACCCCTGTAAAACAAACCCTAAGTTCCAGCGTAAGTCCCCTTTGGGGAGGGGGTTCCTGTTCCCTGATGAGGAGTCAGTGGCGGCTGGGTGGGGGTCAAGGTGTATGAGAGGCTTGGGGTGCGGGGGGCACATGGAGAGAGGGCCGTGCTGGCCGGCTGGATGGGGGCGTGCAGGCAGGAGAGGGGACATGGCCCAGGCCTGGGTACAGGGGAGCATCAGGCTGCAGCATAGGCTGGGGCCCCCGGTGAGAGCTGGGGTCCAGGACGTCCACTCCTGGGGAGCACATGGCTGGCTCCAGCCTGGCTGTTGCGTCTCAGCTGGGCAGCTCCTTGCCCTGCCCTGAGCATCTGAAGGGGCTGGCAGAAGGAAGGCAGCACACGCCTTTGCAAAAAGAGCAGCTGGTACTGAAGGCAGCCAAACGTCTGGTGGTTTGGTCGCTGCTCAGGTGGTCACTAAGGTAACTATTCAGTGACACCCCGCTTCACTGGGGAAGGCCTGGTGGCTGAGGTAGAAGAAGGGCCCCCATTGCCCAGGACGGTGGGATAAGGTGTCAGCCTGACGGTGCGTGGGAGGGGACCGAGGAGGAGGGGCGTCCCTGTCCTTTGAGTTCTAGATTCTGGGTAGACGAGGGTTTCTTTCAGTTTGTTCCCACCATCTCCCTAATTGTTCAGCACCTTCTTAACCCTTGGGAAATCTGTTGGGTGACATTTTGGTGCATCCGAGTGTGTTGTAACTGCCCACGTTTACGAGTCCCTCTTTCTCCCCATCACAGGGTGGGGAAGGCACCTTTTCCCACTCCTCCAGATCTGCCTCTTGAAAAGGACTGTCAGGCCCCAGACCCGGTGCTCAGAGAAGCAGAATCCAGTCGGCCCCTCAGCCTCGCTCGGGCTCCCAGCTCACCCAGCTGCGTGTGGGGAACCATGCGGCCCACAGAGGAGACCATCTTGCCTTTCTCTTCCCTTGTATATGATTTCTTTCACCTGACACCACTCAGAACGTTGGAGTTTTGCAGGGGTTAGAAGGCTGCTGTCTTACAAGCTAGGTTTGATTAGGGCAATGGGACATTTTTCACACTGTCCTAAACACAGAGATTCAGGGGCAGGGAGCCAGGGCAGGAGGCCGGCCTCATGAGCACATCTGGGAAGCAGGACTTCTGGGTCTGGCGTCCCCTAGCCCTCGCCAGTCCCCGCCCCCACGGGTGGCTTTGTCAGCTCTCCCTCCTGCCCTCTGTGGCTTCTCTGACAGAAGGCCATCGCCGCCACAGCCTTTATCAGACGGGCTGGAAGTGTGGCTCATGATCTGCCTTTCCAGAAGGACCTGACTGGCCCTCTCGGGTCCAGGAAGCACAAGAGGGGGAGGGGGACCCACAGGATCAGCTGGGGCCTCCCTTTCAACCATTTTCAGTGTTTACTCAGCGGTGTGAAGCACGTTCATGGTGTTGTGCAAGCATCATACCATGATTTCCAGACTTCCATCAGCCCAAATCAGAACTCTGTTCCCCATTAAACACTGACTCTGACACTGCCCCTCCGTGCCCCGGGCACCTGCCCTTCTGCTTTGTGTCTTTGAATTTGATGACTCTGGGTCCTCACATGAGTAGAGTCTTGCAGGATCTGTCCTTTACTGTCTGGCTTATTTCATGAGCGTAAGATCTTCAGGGTTCATCTGTGTTGTGGCATATGGTGGGATTCCCTCCTTTTTCCGTGGC